TGGAACGAATTAACGTCGTAATGCGAGGCACCACTGTAATGAATAGGGTTGCCAACCACCCATTCATGTTCTGTGATTCCGCCTTTGAGTCCTTTGCCGTTAAAGCGGGGGACACAGCCTGCTGTTTTGAAAGGTCCTTTGGTTTTTGCCGCTACCTTTTAAAACAGCCTCCCACAACCTGGCATCTGCCAGATGTGTCCGGTGACCGCTCCCATCATCCCCCAGCCAGCCTGACCAAACCACGGTTTCTGTTTACGCCCAAACTGGGAAACTGTGGGTTCAAGCAAAGTTTTTGGGAAATTAATTTCTTGAGGCAATCAACTCCCTGAAATCCCTGGTCAGCATGGCTAGTTGCTAGGGGATTCTGGGAATGTAGCAGAAATGTTTTAGAGTATTTCAATATGATAATTTTATCAGGCAGATTCTGTGGAACGAAGTTATTCAAATAAATTGCCCTCAGTCCTCAGCAGTCTGTAAGGCTGGAGGAGGAAAGATAATCAAATCAGATAGCTGAATTATTCAAAATGTATCAAAAATCGAAATTTAAGAAATCTCTTAAGTCACCTGGTGAAGGAGCATTACCACCAACAGGATCTGAACCAAGTCTGGCATAATAAATATTTTGGCGGTGTTCTCATAATTTTTGCCTCTTGCTGACATGAGAAACCAACATGATTTGAAGAGCCTCAGCATCAGAATCAACACAATAGACTTGATTCTGAGGTTCAGGACAATTTGACAACTCTGTTTAAATAGCTCTCAGGGCTGGGCTAATCGCTCTTGAAGAATCAGGAAGTGATTTGCCTGTCAGGCAGCTGGAAAAACAGCTGATAAAAGAGGAATAACACGGAAAGAGGTCAATGACGAAAGCCTGCATGTGATGGAAATCTCACACTGACAAAGAGTTAGAGGCGTGAAGACAAACACTAGAGGAGTAAACCTAGAAGGCAGGAGAGGATGTGAAGCATCTTCTTCCAGGGAAAACTATTCATGCATCTAGTCCTGACTGACTCACAAGCAATGTGACACTGATAGAGTCAGACACTAGCATACCATTGCTTATGGCCCTAAAATGGCCACCTTCCCTCCAGTTTGTTAGAAGTACAACACACTCATTAGCCCCACCTGTACTCTCTGGCCATTGATCTCTGCCTGTCTGTTGTTCCTGCCAGTAAGACAAGGTGGATGACATCTTCTAAAACATCTGGACATCTCCATTATAAACCTTGGAGGGGGGGGACCCATTTCAGACCAATAACCAACATTTTTAATGGGTAATCTCCTGGAAGCTTGTGCCTTATGTACCAACAAGTCTGAACCAATTTAGAGGGATGCTAATAGGGCTTTCAACATGAGATATTTACGGAGTGGTTTAACCAGTTCCACACCTCCAGTGACTTTCCATGGCTGAGCAAGGATTTGAACCCAGGTCTCCTGGGTCTAGTCTATCACTCTGTCTGCTAAACCATACTGGATACCTACAGACTTGTTGTTGTTTAATCGTTAAGTCATGTCCGACTCTTCGTGAACCCATGGACCAGGCCCTCCTGTCTTCCACTGCCTCCCAGAGTTGGGTCAAATTCATGTTGGCAGCTTCAATGACACCGTCCAGCCATCTCGTCCTCTGTTGTACCTACAGACTACATATCAGCAAAGAGGTAGGCAGGCAGGCAGGGCCATGGCAGAACCCATATCCTACCCACAAACTTTCCCCTCCTTATAAACATATTCACATGGCCACAACCAACTCACATACATCATGATTGCGCTCTCTTCTCTTTCTCAGTGTCCATCCTGGAAATCTAGAGATCTATCCGCAAAGGAAAAGAGGGATTTCTTAATCTAGAGGTACCATGGCAGCATAGCTCTACACTCCTGGCAGCCACCAAATCTCCCTCAAAATCTCCACCAGAACCTGAACTAACCAGGAAACAGAAGATCAATGGTGGGAAACAGGAGCATGAAGGCAACAGACTGAGCAGAGAATGGGCCAGAAGGGTGGGCACATATGGCCACATCCAAATTGATGACTACCAGTTCCCCAAACTTCTGCCTTCCTCACACTCCGCTTGCACTCAGCTTTTGCCAACATGTATCAAAATCCTTCCTTAACCCATAAGCATGTTGAGAGAATGCAAGGTTGACTTCACAATTTTGTGAACAACCCTGTTACACAACAGGGTGGTGACAACAACAAAGCAAATAAATCCAATCAAATAAGTCAACTGCTTGTAACATGACCAGGTCTTGAGAAGCTTCTGAGCCTCTGTGGTTTAGACATAATTATAGCCCAGACAATGAGTGTTTTACTAGGAAATTAGGCTCAGGATTATATGAAATTGTGCTTTGCTTTCAAACTGGTAAATATGGGATAAAGGATTACAACTATCATTTCTGAGTACTATAGAATAGTGAAGTTGGAAGGGGCCTATAAGGCCATCAAGCCCAACCCCTTGCTCGATGCAGGAATACAAATCAAAGGATATCTGCCAGGTGGTTGTCTAAGTTTCTCTTGAATGCCTCCAGTGTTGGTGCACTCACCACCTCTCGAGGTCATTGGTTCCACTGCTCTTAACAGTTAGGAAGTTTTTCCTGATATTCAATTGAAATCTGGCTCCAAGCCCATTGTTCCATGTCCTGCACTCTGAGATGATTGAGAACAGATCTTGCCCCTCCTCTGAATGACATCCTTTCAAGTATTTGAAAAGTTTTATCATATCACTCCTCTGTCTTCTTTTCTCAAGGCTAAACATGCCCAATTCTTTCAGTCTTTCCTCATAGGGCTTGGTACTGGCTACGCTGGCTAGGGCTGAAGGAAACTGTAGATTAGAGCAGTGATTCCAAACCGTGGGTAATCCAAGTGTCCTTGGACTGCAACTCCCAGAAACCCCTGGGTCACAGCGGGTGGTGAAAGCTTTTGGGAATTGCAGTTCATGAACACCTGGGTGTTAGGAAACAGTAGAAGATCAGGAGAGTGACAGAACCATAGAAATCCAAATCAATGCAGATGTGACAGAGGGTGGACCAATTTTCTCCTGAATGCCTCCAACGTTGGAGGTAACCTATTCCAAAGGCCAAGTTGCATTTCATCAAATATCCAGGGGCCAGCAACCACCAGCTACAGTTTGTACATTTACCACAGGAAAACTAGACAGAACCTGGCTGGTGCAGAAAGCACAAAACTGATTAAAGGAACCAACCCACAAGTGATTACAAAATTCTAGTTATTCTTGCCTAGGGACAAAATTAGCAGCTTTGATCTCCTTCTGACTAATTTGCAGATATACTGCTGACACACAAATTCTTATTCTCATTGTTCCAGCTAGCCCTGGGCCAAAACTGAAGGATCAGGATGGAACAATTGGGTTTATTTGTTCAAGATTTCAGGCAGGAGCCCCTGTTCCCTTCTCTTGCACACCTATCTCTCTGTAAAGACTAATCTGGAGAAAAGTTAATTTGTAGAGAATCCCTAGCGGAGGGAGGGAGTGGCCCAGGACTGAACTCAAATCTAGGTCATGTACTCTGAGGATTTTGTGATACTGCAGTGGAAATCTAAAATTGCCAAGAAGGTAGGAAAAGGATGGCGTTTAGGAACCTTTGCCAGACTGCTACTCCCGAAACGCTACAACCAGCCTGGCTAGAAGCATACTTTCAAAAACGTGTGAGGCGGGTGGAGGTGAAATGGAAGAAACAAATGTTATGATTTCACAATCAGTAATTAAAAAGATGACGTCTATTCACTAAGTGATCTTCAGCAAGCACCCTGATTGTGTCACATCTATTTATTTACAATATATTCAGTTTTGTTTCTCCCTCATTTACTTAAACTCTTTTGTTCTTTCTTTTGTTCTTTCTTTCTTTCTTTCTTTTTCTAGTTCTCCTCCATCTCCTAAGGAGTGTCATCATTTAGTTGTCTGGCTGTGGAGCCAAGGGTAGGGAGCTTGATTCCCCTTCTTTCTTTTTCTAGTTCTCCTCCATCTGCTAAGGAGTGTCATCATTTAGTTGTCCGGCTGTGGAGCCAAGGGTAGGGAGTTTGATTCCCCACTGTGCCTCCTAGATGAAGAGCCAGCCTTTGTAGCCTTGGGCAAGCTGCACAATCCCAGGGCACCCCCAGAAGAAGAGAAGGGCAAATAATTGCTGTGCATGCTCTATCTGGAAAACCCCGAGAAGGGTCACCATCAGTCAGAACTGACTTGACAGCACATCATTATTATTTAATGTAAAGTGATATGATGAAGCTTGTTCTGGCCATTGCGTTGTAAGGGCTACTAAAAGCCTTTCTCTCTCATTCTCACGTCTCTCCAGATGTGTTGCGCGACAGCCACTATCAGCCCCAGCAAATCAGCTTTGCTGACTATGAAGGGCAAAATCTGTAGTCCAATAACCAGGGCACCAGGGAAGGAAAAGGCCAAGTTCAAAGCACCCTGCTGTGAGGGCTGGAGACTCTCTTACAAAGCCTGTCACTCTCTTTCAAAGCTTACCCCACTTTCACAGGGTTGTTCAGAGTGCAAAACTGTGCAGCAGAGAAGGAAAAGGGAAACCACCGACACCATTTAAACCTCTTTCGAAACCAGACAGAAGAGAGAAACACAATAAAAAGCAGTTACCATGTTTACGGTGATCTCCTTTCCAGCTTTCAACCTTAACCTTCGATTCATTATAGATACGTTTTGTAAAAAAAAACCCTAATTTTGCTCAGGCTGCCTGTAGGTGCATTTGTCGCGTGCTTTTATTTTTTTTAAAAGAGGGCGAAGCGGGGGAGAAGCACAGGTAGGTATGGCCACGATCCTGCTCTTCTAAGATACTTCGATTGTTGTTTTCAATATTTATGAACGGTCACCAGGGAAACGGCGGGTAGGGGGAAAAGATCCTTGCCCAGACAGATCGATTCCGTGTATGTGGGGGAAGTGAGAAGGTAAATGCATTGCTCCAGTTTAGTTTTTTCTAGTCTAGGATGGGATCGCAGCAAACGTGGGAATCCCACACCGTTTCCCCCTTACCTGATCCGGAGTGGCCATCCCACACGTTTGGCAGCAGCACAAGGCGAGAAAAAGCAGAACTCCAAGGCAAAGCTCCCTCCACCAAGTTTCCGGTCCTCTACAGGGGCCTGATCCCCTTCTGGGATCACGTTCGGCACTCATGGCTTCGATCGTCGGGATCCCCCTTTCCCCGCATCAATTAGGGCTGCTTCCCCTTTAAGGACGCTTCCCTTCCCCTTTCCGCAGTCACGCCTAGGTCTGTCTGCGGGAATCAACAGTAAGAGAAGCGCTTGGGAACTCCCGGGGTCTGCAGCGCGCTTCTGATTGGCTGGCTGGAAAGACAGGGAAGCGAAGACACAGGCGAGGGATCATATGACCAAAGCAAGACCATAGAGATTGAGACAAAAATAAAGGCTAGATAGGCTAGAGTTTATATTATCTCCAGCTCATAGGGACTTCCGGGGACGAAACAAATCGCTGTTGGCTCTGCAAAGAGTGTAGAGCTTTCGTCATCGAGACGTCGAAGGCTAGAGCGACACGTATTGAAAGAGAGCGGGTCAATTGCTGCTTATATAGGAAGTTTGGACATCAGCTGGAAGAGACGTGTTAAGTAGAATTTGATACTTCCCAATTATCTGAGTTACATTTTATTTATTTATTTATTTATTTATTTATTTATTTATTTATTTATTTATTTATTTCATTTATACCCCGCCTATCTAGTCAATTGTGACCACTCTAGGCAGCTTACAATACACACTATAAAAATTAAACATATAACATATCACATAACATAATTTGCATAAATAAAAGATAAAATAAATTTTTTCCCAAAGATGGCGAGAACAGGGTATATTATAGTAGAAGGAAAAAAGAATAATTAGGTATTAGCTGGAAAGGGGGAAGGCCTGCCTGAACATCCATGTTTTCAGTTGTTTCTTAAAAATACCCAGTGAGGGAGCTGTGCGAATCTCAGGAGGTAAGTTGTTCCAGAGGCGAGGAGCCACCGCCGAGAAGGCCCGGTTTCTTGTTTTTTCCTTCCAGGCCTCCCTCGGCGTCAGGCTCCTCAGCCTCACCTCCTGACTCGCTCGGGTGACACGGGTAGAACTGGGTGGGAGTAAGCGTTCCGCCAAGTATCGAGGCCCTAAACCGTTTAGGGCTTTAAACGTAGGCGTCAGAACTTTGAAGTCAACATTCACACCCATAAATAGTGACTGGAAATACAATAGTGTGGATGCTCTTGATTTTGGTCTCCAGTGATACATTCTTACATTTTGATGATCTTTTCTAGTTCCTTCATTGTTGCCTTCTGAGCCCCAGTCTTCTGATTTCTGGGCTGCAGTCTTCATTTGGGTTGATGGTTGAACCAAGGCGTATGAAATCTTTCACTATTTTAATTTACACGAGGGATGAGGAATCGTGACACTTCAGACAAGTAGCGGACTTAAGTCTATTTCAGCAGAAGCAAAACAATTAAAATATTGTGGCACCTTTAATGATAACAAATTTAATTCTATGTGAACTTTCACGGATGCAACCCACTTTCTGAGAAACACAGTGTTTCAGATGTATTCTGTCATAGGACTTCCATCAGCCCTAGCCACCATAGCTAATAGTGGAGGATGATAGAAACTAGCCCAAAAATATCTGGAGGTCTACAGTTACCCACCTTTCATTCAGATACAGTACAGTATATGGAAATGTAACAGAGAACTCTAGTCTACAATTCCCACCATTTATTTAAAATAAGTTTAGCCCAACTTTCTCCTTAAAAAGGACCCAAGGCAGCTTATATCCTTGAAAGATAATTTTAAAGCTGGAAACCATGAGTGGTTTACATCATTCAAAGACAGTATTTAAAGCTAAGAAGAATGACTATAAAAAGGCAACTTACATCATTAAAAGACAATATTATTTTAATTTAAATTCCCACCATTTATTTAAAATAAGTTTAGCCCAACTTTCTCCTTAAAAAGGACCCAAGGCAGCTTATATCCTTGAAAGATAATTTTAAAGCTGGAAACCATGAGTGGTTTACATCATTCAAAGACAGTATTTAAAGCTAAGAAGAATGACTATAAAAAGGCAACTTACATCATTAAAAGACAATATTATTTTAATTTAATCTTTTTAAATTGTATTTTAATCATTTTATCTTTTATTGTATTTTAATTGAATTTCAATTGTTGTAAGCCGCCCAGAGACCTTTGGTAGAGTTGGCGGCATATAAGTTAAATAAATAAATAAATAAATAAATATTAAAGCTAAAACAATGAATATGCAAATATTAAAAAGGAACACCTTTCATAGGGGCTGGCATCTGTTTCCCGTCCAGATGTTCAACCTATCAGGGACAATATTTGTGTGCCATCAATTCTGACTTGCCCTTGGCGCTCACCAACTTCCAAGGTATTTGGTTTCATTGTCATACTGCTCCAATACTGAATAGGTTTTTCCTGTTTTTCAGACTAAATCTGGCTTCCTGAAGCTTGAACCCATTATTACATGTCCTGCATTCTGGGATAATGTAGAACAGATCCTGCCCCTCCTTTCAAGTACATAAGCATATCCTTTAGCTCTCTGTTCAGGTAAGAAAGGACACCTTTTCAGAACCCTTATAGAGAACAAAAAGTCACAAGACTGTGAAAGAAACTGTGTTTAATTCAGCATAAAGGTCTTTCATAAACTCTTGGCAGGAGAAAGAAAAAATACAAGGCAAAAACAAACAAACAAACAAACCACTCAATGTTTACTATGAGGAATGAATTGGGGTGTGCATGTTGGGGGTGACTATTTAACCTTGGCCATTTTAATCCTGGATTGGTAGGTATGATGGGATGCTTCATCCCCTCTGGATTCTGTCCAAAGACTGCATTTCATGCGCTCCCACTTTCAACACACTCTTGTATCACATCACAGTTGTTACACGACCGTCACAGGTCCTGCTACGCTGCCTTCTCCCACAAACCCATATTAAGTGCAAAAATACAATGTTTGTTAATAAATAAAGGTCAGTTTGCCAGGAATGCCAAAGTCCTTCTGTCCACACTGTTGCTGGTGTCCCAGGCAGAAATCCTTGTACGCCGGGGTAAACGCCGAGTGACCCAAAGGAGGTCGGTTCATTCCGGGCACTGCTCTGCTCTGCTCCAGCACAAAGCAACCTCTGGTTAATCATCAGCCAGTCGGAGAAGAGTGCCAGTACTCGTCAGCACGCTGGGGGAAAGAAAAGTAATAAGAGAGAGGCTGTCATGTCCAAAAGGCAGGAAACGGCCACAGCCAAAGCTTCTACAAACTCTGGAAAAAGGGAGGGAAAATAAAACTGCTTTTGTACATTTAATTTCTATTCCAGGCTCAAGCACACAGCAAGAGAACACCACCACTGAACTTTAATGGAAGCCTAAGAAGCCCGTTAAGTAGGCTAATGTTGTTTACCCTTATGGGGGCTCAGCGGGCATGATGAGCAAATTGCAGCCCCTCTACCTAGGGCTGGACTGCAACCCCTTTAACCCCCAGCTAGGACAGCCAAGGGTGAGCAATGCTGAGACCTGCAGCCTATCAATATCTGGGAAAGTCTCTTTTCCACCTCTGGGGTAGGGTCGCTTTGCAAGTTCACAGAGGATGTGAAGTTTGACTTGGAAACTTCCTGACTCATGAGTTGCAAGCTCTGTTCGCCTGCCACCCAAATGCTCAGCCCCAGGGACCCGGGCCCCCCGCAGAATCTTGAATTCATACACATCTTTCACGCCAACCCCACCCACATCGACCCAGACACTGTCCCACTGGTTTCTCATGAAACTTAATCTTAAGACACTGCAAGGGCCACCGATTCCTCACCCCTACTGTAAAGGATTGCACCCTCGGTTAAGTAAGTACTGGGCTGAAATCTGTGAATGAAATGCCCAAAGGCTGAAAAAAATAATCACCTTTATACAAAATAATTAAAACTTAAAGAGAAACTTAAAACACGATTTATAGCACGGGGGAGGGTGACGAGTGGCTTGTGCCCCCCCCCGAAGTGTCCCTGAGCCACCAGCAGGTCACCCCCAAGGCAAAACAGAACTGGGGATGGCAAAATTCTATTCATATAACAAATCACATAGCCTTTATTAGGGTCTCAGATTGATTAAAGAGCAAAAAATGGAAGGGGGAAGAGCTTTTCATAGAGGTTTTTTTTTGGGGGGGGGGAACATAATCTTCCTAGCTTTGGGGTATTTCCCATTCTGCATGTAACATTTTAAATCTGTATACATGCCACAGTATGGGCATTCTTTCTTAAACTTCTTAGTTAATGCTACTCATTTTGTATGAAGATCCATGGCTCCTCTCATTCTTTTTGGCATCCAGCATATCCCATCCCCATTGCTCTTTCCACCTGTGTTTCTTTTGCTGGGTTGTAACCAATAAAGCAGAGATCCAACATGCCTAATTGCTTGGAAAGATGCCACCAGGGGAAAGATAGGTCGGGAGAAATCCCGTACCAGTCAACCAGCTGGGCTCCAATGATGTCATGTATGTGGTAAGGTATGCCTAGTTTCACAGCGCTGGGCGCACGACGATTCTGCAGGTCAGACAGCAAAACCTCCTTGTATTTGGCTTTTTGGATCATACCCAAGACAGCTTTCCTTCCTGCGGAGAGACAGACAGAGAAATGGAACACTCTCTTTGGATGTGATTATGTATGTATTTATTTCCTTTATATTTTTATCCTGCCCAACGAGGGGCAGAGCCACTACTCTGCGCAGCAAACAAATCATAATGATGTAAAATACAAACAACCAGAATAAAAGCCACTTAGACGGGTAAGAAACATAACATCTAAAACAGAACACAACTAATAAAGAATAGAAACTATAAAAGAATTACCAATAGTGAACACAATAATATTAGGTAGCAAAAACAGGGCAAGTTCATAAGCATATAAAAGAAGGGGAAAAAACCCCAATCAATTGGTTACTAGAATTTGAACCCTTCAAATATGCTGTCCTCCACACCTTTGGCTTGCTAGAGGTTTTGGACTGCAAACATTAACTGCTACAGCTGCACAATTATAGAACAGTGACGACTCTCCATAATTATATGAATATAACAAGATCAAATGAATCTATCGAGCTGAACATTCTGTTCAAACCATGGCCAGACAGATGTGATGACAGACAGCTTGCCAGCCAGGCATGAGTCCTAGTGCATCCTCGAGTCCAGTGGTTCCTGACCTTGGATCCCCAGATGTTCTTGGATTAAAACTCCCAGAAGCCTTCACCACTAGCTGTGCTGATCAGGATTTCTGGGAGTTGTAGTCCAAGAACATCTGGGGACCCAAGGTTGGGAACTCCTGCTCCAGTCTCTTAGCATCAAGCATACTAGCTTCTATGAGTTAAAGTCCAAAAACATCTGTAGAACAAAGGGTTCACCATCCCTGTGCTACTGTGATAGTATCAATTGTCAAGCTGGAGAGGACACCCAAGAATTTGCAACCCTGCCAGTCCTGTGCCAGGTGTCTTCCCTCATCACAGTTCTGGAGAGATCCCAGGAGATAAACCAACCTTTGAGGAAGTATTTGATGAAGCGGCCTGCTCCAGGCACAGCCAGCCACCAGCTTCCAGCATCACGGACGGTCAGCACCCCAGCATTCACTAGCTGTCTGAAAGCAAACGCAGATAGTTTCTTCATTCATATTCATTCTTAATTTCTTTTGCATTTACGACACAGTTGTTGTTGTTGTTCTTTAGTCCCGACGGTCAGCACCCCAGCATTCACTAGCTGCCTGAAAACAAACGCAGATAGTTTCTTCATTCGTATTCATTCTTAATTTATTTTGCATTCAAGACACAGTTGTTGTTGTTTAGTCCGTTGGTTGCTTCAATGACACTGTCCAACCATCTCGTCCTCTGTCGTCCCCTTCTCCTCTTGCCTTCACACTTTCCTAACATCAAGGTCTTTTCCAGGGAGTCTTCCAAGACACAATAGTTTCACAAATTATGGAGAGAGTATGTTGGCCAAGGAAAACATGCATTTGGAAGCCTGAGTAAACACAGCTTCAACTTCTTATATTCTAGACGTCAGCCGTGGACAAGAAAAACTGTCGCACCTGATTATGTACCAAAGATCTTGGAAACACTATTTGTTGGGCTAAAATTTTCAGAAATTGTCTTCCTTGGTAGAACTGTGGTACCAGAGAAATAACTTTCCCACACTCAGTTACACCCCAAGTTGAATATAGCTTGACAGTCAGATCTGGGGATCCACCAAACCTGCTTAGGATTGCAGAACAAGAGACTATCAGGGAGATGGAAAGGTAGAAATGCATGGGCTGCATTCAGTTTTGCACATCACAAACTCTGCTGTTGGGCTTCATCAGGACCACGAACCAATGGATACCCTGGGACATAACTGCTTTCTGCACTCAAAAGATTTGTTGTTGGGTAAACCTGTACAGGGCCACACTGTTCATTTCATCGAATCCAAGGTTGGGCCACGGGTGGCTCTTCAAATGTTGCTGGACCACAGCTCTGATTAGCCCTCACCACTGAGTATGCTGGCCAGAAACTCTAACAAAATCTGGATGGCTGCAAGTGGCCCACCTCAGTCTACTTGATCAACCAAGTCCATCGCTTTTGATGACATAATGATTTGTCCTCAGCTATCGAGGAAGCGGGAGTTGTTTTTTTTTCATAACCATTCCTTTTAGAATAAATCCTTTTTAAAACTCACTCAAGAATATCCCTTAGGCTTAGAAGAACTACAGTGGTGCCCCACATAGCGATGTTAATTCGTTCCAGGAAAAACGTCGCTATCCAGAAACGTCGCTATGCGGGGGGGGGGAACCCCATAGGAACGCATTAAACTCCGTTTAATGCGTTCCTATGGGGGGGAAACTCACCGGTAAGCAAAGATTCCCCATCCGGCCGCCATTTTCGCTGCGGGCGGCCATTTTCTTGATCTGGTGGCCATTTTGGAACCGCTGATCAACTGTTTCCCTAACATCACAACGCTTACCGATCATCGAAATGCGATGTTTAATCTATTAAAGCATCGCAATGCAACGCTCACCGATCATCGCAATGCGATGTTTAATCTATTAAAGCATCGTAATGCAATCGTAAAAACAATAGCAAAATCCACATCGCTATGCGGATTCGTCGTTAAACGGTGCGCTCGTTAAGCGAGGCACCACTGTATTTTCATGTCATTTTAAAGGGATTAATCCAAGTCCTTGGAGACTAACAATGGCTTCTGGAGATGATGGCTGTTTGCTATTTCCAGTAATGGTTTGATTGACCACTTACTTGTTTAATTCTTTTTTTAAATATACGCACACTCAGTTTTTAGTTTTTAAATATTATCTTTTAATTGTTGGTGAGGTAAAATTATTCAAAACAAAACATAAAACTTGGCTCTGGATACAAACTACTGGCAGCCGCAAGGATGAGGGTGCTTAATCGGATAAAAAAAATACAGTATTTAAGTTAATGGACTCAAATCTAATTGTTAGACCCAATGCAGGAGTAGGTTCACAGAATCAATGGGATGTATAGAAGTGTTGATGCACCATTTCACTTTTAAATCAATGAGTCTACTCTCCTCAGGATAAGCATTTGGATTTAAGCCATTACAATTCATCCATTTGTGACACAGGCTCGTTTTACCTGGGCAACACCCCCAAGCAGTGAACGTTCACAACACCCCAGCAAATGTTGATTGAGGGCAGAAAAGCTGAGGACAGCACAGATATTTTAAGACACACTTGTCCCTCAAGAGCTATCTTTAGGGGTCAAGACAGGAAATCTGCCACCCACAAAAGGGAAAGGTTTGCTCACGTGATCTCTGTGTCGGTGAAGCCAAACTCTCCCAACATCCTTTTCTTGTCATAACTGATGTCAGGACAAGAACTGAGGACAGAATCCAGGAACTTCTTCACTGTCCTGGCAAATTCCTTCCCAGACACAAACTCGAGTACCTGAGAGAGAAGGAAACAGGATCGGATCATCCCCACCTCTGCACCTCCAGCCGCTTAAACCACAACCTCCCTGGACGGACGTTAGACCTTGTCTTTGTAATTCTCCGTGAACGTCACGACAAAAGTGTCTGCGTCGAAGCCATGCTGGAATATCCGGATCTGGCCTTCATCCTTCAGTTGGCTCTGTGGAAAGAGAGGAGGGTTGGTTTCTTTTTTTAATGCCTCCATGTTCAACCCCATTCAAACTCAGCAGGCAGAGAACAGAAGGTGGAGGAAGAGAAGAGGATGAGAGGAGGGGCTGTGTTCCACAACCAGAAAACCCCTGCATCAGAAAATAACCGGGGGTGGTGGTTTTGGAATGCTTCCCTTGCTACCACCTCAAACTACATTGTGTGAAGGCAGAATTGGGTAGACTTCCTTGTATCCTCAACTATATGTCCTTTCATTGCTAAAATGATCAGTGACAGAGGACTGGCTGTCTTCAAAGTTGGGTTTCCCCACGTTTTTGTTTCATAGATTGTGTACATGAGCAAAAGATCCTCCAGCAATGTTTATTAGTTTCCACTAGTGTGTCACTTATCCTTCCGATGTTATATTGTTCTTCTAGAACAGGGAATGGGCAACACGCAGCCCCCAGCCTGCCCTTAGCCAGTGTTTCAGCCCCCAGCCTGGCATCAGTAGTAGTAATATAGCAGTATTTTTTTAATCTCTATTTTTCAGGACCAAGGACAAAAGAAACCTCTTTTTCCTTCCTTTCTGTTCCTTTCAGAGCAGACAGCGATGGTCTAGGAAAGGATTGGGCAAAACTCTATGTTGGAGGTAAGAGGAGCTGGTAATTGCCACTAGATTCTGTGTCATTGTGTTGAGGGCTTCCTTTCTGTTCCTTTCAGAGCAGACAGGGACGGTCTAGGAAAGGAGTGGTGGAGGTAACAGCAGCCGGTAATTGCCACCAGATTCTGGGCCCCTCCCTGTGTCATTGTGTTGAAGGGGCAACATAGTTTTCCCCCTCAGAAATTGCTCACATCTGCACTGGAAAAACTAAGATCATGGCCACTGGTCCCATCACCTCCTGGCAAATAGAAGGGGAAGATATGGAGGCAGTGACAGATTTTACTTTCCTGGGCTCCATGATCACTGCACATGGGGACAGCAACCATGAAATTAAAATACGCCTACTTTTTGGGAGGAAAGCGATGACAAACCTAGGCAGCATCTTAAAAGCAGAGACATCGCCTTGCCAACAAAGGTCTGCATAGTCCAAGCTATGGTTTGTCCAGTAGCAACATATGGAAGTGACAACTGGACCCTAAAGAAGGCTGACAGCCGAAGAATTGATGCGTTTGAATTGTGTTGCTGGACGAGACCCTTGAGAGTCCCCTGGACTGCAAAGAGAACAAACCTATCCATTTTGAAGGAAATCAACCCTGAGTGCTCATTAGAAGGACAGATCCTGAACCTCAGGCTCCAATACTTTGACCATCTCATGAGAAGAGAAATCTCCCTGGAAAAGACCCCAATGTTGGAAAAGTGTGAGTTCAAGAGGAGGAGATTGTTTGACATTGTCATCGAGGCTATTAACATGAATTTGACCAAACTCCGAGAGGCAGTGGAAGACAGGAGGGCCTGACGTGCTCTGGTCCATGGGGTCACAAAGAGTTGGACACGACTTAATAAGCAACAACAAAAGCACTGGAAAAATAAGAAGTGCTTATGTGGTGTTCCACACCTGTGGTCCAGATCCTCCTAATCTTGTGCCCATCTTATGCCTTATCTTCTTCATTGCTACAGGATCAAGGGGGTTCCAGAGAAGCTAACTGGAGACCGAATCGAGATGGACAAGTCCATATTAGAGGTTGGGATTTCAGAAAAGGAGAAGGCGGTCTCTTACCAGTTGCCTGTCCACCGTTGTGCGGTCTTTGACGATGCTGTAGATCTGGTGTTTCAGAATCAAGGGTGGCAACGAATCCTCAAATAATTTGCGAGGGAAGAGAGATGCCAAGTGTTGGAGTGCAGATTCAACTGCCTTCGGGCCCTCTAGGAAAGAAAAACACTGCGTAAGAACCAAGGAGACCCAACACCCCACCCTTCTTAGATGAAATCTCTCTTTCTCATGTTTTCCAGTGGCTCTCCTGCTCACCCTTGCCCGCCCGCTTGCCCCCGTTCTGATGCTGCAGGTCAGAACATCTCCTTTCTTACCGTGTTCCAAAGGCTCCAATCCAAGTGGCAGCCGCGGCTTTTTCGCCTTAAAAGTATCAGATAAGAGCTGACGCTGACGCTTCATGTGGCCAAAAGGAAAGCTAAAAACAGAAGATGGGGTTGTTATACAGCTGTTCCAGAGTCAATACTCATTTGGCTTCTTTTACCCACTCTCTATTTCTTTTCCATCCACTTCCTCCTGCAAGAATAACTCCTGTTTATATCTCTTTCTTAACCAGAGCGAGGGGGGGGGATTAGCCTCCCCTCGCCCTTGTTGGAGACTACAGCACTCAGAAATCTTTACAATCAGTGACCATTTGGCTATCAAATTCTGGGACTCCTAGAATTTGCTAGCCAAATGACCACTGGCCATGCTTTTCCCATCTCTGTCCGAGGCCTCCTTCAAAAAAAGCTTCTTTATGCTCTGCCACTAAAAACGGTATCCCCTCTTACAATCTGCTGCACAAGCCCCGTTTCAAGGTAAGAAACCCCCTACAATCTTCCTGTGTTCAGAATGCCTTTTAAAACATTTTTAGCACTGTATGCTAGCCAACCCATAACTTTAAATATTTTCAACATTTCTTCTGGTTTTGCTTCTATATCTTACAACAGACAAGTTTTCCTCTTCTGGCTTCATCGCCACTTCTGGAAGACTGTAGTTTTTAATTTTTTATACACCATGTTGCAAAACCAGAAGAGTAGGACCAGTAAAACAAGTCAAGTGTGCACCAAACAACAAATTAAATGTTTTATTCATCCCACAGGAGTTCCTGATCCACCCGGGGACTGATTTCTACATTTGAATTTTCTCTTACGTTGCTCAGTTTTTGACATTGCAATGTACAGTATTTAAAAGCACAACAGCCCTCAATGGTCTTCCCCTCCATCTCACTTGCTTCTTTTAGGAAGCAAAACAGATGAAGGCATAGAAGTGAAAGAAGCAAGCATGTGAATCCAGACAGTAGTTGGGTATCTACAGTATACCAGTTCAAGGAGCTGGTGCGCACCTGATAGGGTAGCCTCTGCCCCGTGAAAACATACAGCCGGATTAGGGTGTCATGTTAAAAAAAAAGACTAAGTGTAGGAGAGGAAGCACTGCTTCCTCTGGTTCTTCCATCCAGAGATTATTCCTTCCAGCTTGGAAAAGATCCTGAAGCCAGGGAAGAATCTGAAATAATGTAAGATACAGGGAGGATTCACTCCTACCTCCCCAGTCCCCACTCTGTATTTGGCTTTAAAATGTAGAGACTCCACTAGATGAAAAAGTCATATGGATAACCAACCCTTCCAGCTTCAAATTTAGTTCAGCCCTCTGTTGTCAAAAAACCACCTTACACATCCCTTCCTTCTCACCCTCACCCAGCCCTCAAGATTCCCCCGTCTAGCTTCCAGGCTGTCGCCATCACACTGAGCCATTAAACGGACTGGGTAACCTTCTGCCAGTTACTCCTTCTCGCCCAGTCTCTCTTACCTTACAGGATTATTGTGCACATGAAGTGCTGGCAGCCCTGAACTTATCACACAAAAGGAGGGATAGAAAACTAACTAAAATATAACCCTCAGCCAGGGATCTTTAGCCACCCTTTATTATGGCCAAACATTTCATGAACTAGAGACCGCTTTATAAGAGAGAACCAAACATTTCTTTCTTGTTATGTGTTGTCAAGTCACCTTCTACTTATGAATGAGTGATCTCCAAAACCTCCCGCAACTGCCCTGCTCAGGTCTTGCAGACTCAAGCCTGTGGCTTCCTTGAAGGAGTCAGTCCATCTCCTATTTGGTCTTCCTCATTTCCTTTCCACCTTGTCTTTTCCAGAGATTCCTGCCTTCTCATGGCTAGGAACATTTTTGTCTCCCGAGATCCACCTCTTTAACACTCTTTTCCCACCTGGGTCAGTCTATCGTTTCCCCACTTCCTTTCCTATTCATACCCAAGATCTCCTTTCCATCCCCATTTAAACACTTCTCATTCCCAACCTAGAGATTTCTGCTCTTCCCATTCAATGCCCAGCATAGGCATCTGGCGATGACGTCACCGTCCTGCGACACACCTTCCTTCCCCAAAGCCCCTCTTCGTCTCCCCTCTCAGTCCTCACCTGGGTCAGCCAACTGTCAAGCCTCCGCTCGGTATTCGTGGTCAAAAGATGACGTCACTTTCAACACCCGCGCCACGCCGCTTCCTCCATCTTTGGCCCGGTGGGGAGGGAGACAACATTGATTGACGGCTAAGGCGACGTATAAGGTTGGGCCTTTTGCCGGATGGTGGCCATCTTGATTTTGCACAGGGTGAAAGGGAAGGAAGCCAATATCGCCGCCATTTTGGATATGGGAACGCTGGTTGGGAGAGAAAGCGTGAGGAACAAATTGGAAGCTATTTTGGATTTTATGCCGGAAGAATCGCCCTGTGGCAGTTAAAAGACTAAGAAATTGTGTTGGCAGAAGCCATGTCCTTAGATGGCGATTTGCCATTGAATCCCACCCATCATCCTGTGTGCTAAATACAAATCTGACATTTCTGCATTTTCTGATTAAAGACTTGTTACCATACATTTGTTAACCTCTCAGGTGCCACAAGCATTCTTGATGGTTTAGCAGTAGCAACAATAGCATCTATACATGCCCAAGTGTGGGCGTTGGGAAGTGGGTTTTGGTGTGGAAACGATCCCACAACAATTGCTACTTTATGGCTGTTTTCTTTCTTGCATTTTATATGTACAGTCTGGAGGGGACACATCATTCCACCTAATGGTAGGGCTGGTCCTGCTTTAAAATATTTTATTTATTTATATTTATACCTCGCCCATTTAGTGAACATGCCACTACTCTGAGTGTCTTATGAAATACTATTAAAACCATATAAAACATTAAAAGAAAACAAACCCTGCCCCCCCTAAAATCACCCATCTGGGGCATAATTTCAAAAATATTTGAAATCTCTCTCTCTCGGAAATATATTAGACCCCCTGATTTATGTGGTGTGCCAATAGGCTCACCAATATAACATTGCATGCAATGCATCATAATTAATTTTCCTACCCATCCAACCAATATGTGCTATAGTCATTGCCTGTAACAATGCAACCGATGTGTGTCTACTCAGAAGTAAGTGCCACTGAATTCAGTGACGTTCCCTTCCATGAAAATATTAATATATTATTTAAAAGTATATAGGCCAAAACCTAGTTGCATAAGGTTATGCCACACAAGATTGATGAAGTCACCAGTGGTGGACTTTTATCACTCCTTCTGAACCCACCTCCCGCAGCTTCTGAGGCTCCCTAAGGATCTCTTTCCTCCTTGGGACAATATGGGAGTCTTTAATGTGAGAAGATTGCCTGGAGTTGTTCCATCTCCACCACTGCCATCCCCTCCCCCCCAAGTCTTCTCCAGGACAAAAGGGATCCTCAGATCCTGGATTGATATGGAATCAGAAGCATTTAATTCGTGATTAAAGGCAGAAAGGGAAGACATCAGCTTTACATGGCATAATCTTAACGCAACAAGGTTTTGGCCGGAGGATTGGAGGCTATGCCTCATGAGATATACAATCTTAACAAGTTACAGGAATCTGTTTTTATCTGTAAGAATATAACATTAGCTAACCTATGAAATCCACACTCCAGAACACTTAAGTTGTCCGGAAAACAGATATAATATGAAAACCTGAACAGCTACGTACCTAGCTGGCAGGCAGTAAATCCAGTCTGGTTCTTAGATAAACAAAACAAAGCAGGCAGACTGAGGTATGTATGCCAAGCCTTCTTCAGGTACAAAACATCCTAACTAAGTCCTTGGCATGCGGAAGAAGCAGCAGGCTGCCCAGAGGCAGTTCCTTCTACGAATTAAGGTAAGGCAGTTGCTGAAGAGGCTCTTAAAGGTGAATGACTAAGATATCTCACAGATGGGACCCTCCACTGGGATGTTCTCGGAGTGAGGACAAAGATTGCTTTGGACTGTGCCTGTTTTTCCCCTGATCAATTGTCCCATCACATCATTCCGCTGATTAATGAGCCCCGTGCAGCGTTTCAGCTCAGCATCAGCAGCGACGGATGCAACACTGGTGGATTGGGGTTGACCTCAGTCAACCTCAGAGAGAGAAGGTTGACCTCAACTCACCTGCTTGATCTTCCTGGGCCATCCTTAACAATCTACCCTACACCACAGTCACCATTGATGTCCATTGGCCTTTTTGGAAGGCCAGCTTAAGTCTATAAGAGTGTAGTGGAATCATGCAATCCATGAGCTGCATACATCCCAGCCCTGCAAGACCATTTTCACATCCCCAACCCCAAAGAGGTGTGTACACCACCACAATCATCCTCTGAAATTGTAATTTTTTAAAAACCGTTTTATACCATGCCATCTAGCCTGCAGCCAGACTGGGCGGTGTACAACAGATAATTAAACACTATAAATAATAATAAAATGCAACATAAGAAATTGATATGACATCATAAAAAAACAACAGAACAAGCAGAAGACTGGCAAGGAAGAAAGCTGACACGGAGGGGGGTATGTCTTTTGAAGTGTGGCGTTGGAAACGCATGGACTGCTGAATTAAGTGTCAAAAAACAAATAGATTAAACCAAGCCTGAATTTGCACTAGACGTTGATATGACTGGACTCAGACTCTTGTCTTTTCAGGCAAAACAAAACTGCTTGGAGCAGGCAACAGTGGTAGAAACGAAAGGCAACAGGAAAAGAGGAAGACCCTGTTACATACAGCACTGATGTTACCTGTCTGTCATGGGTTTGGAGGGAAAGTTCCATCCTATGGGGAGTGGAAGGCGGGACATCAGGAGGAGGGGCTGTACTGTATATATATGTGATGCGTGTGTGGAGAAGTTAGGAGACGCTGGGATGTGACGAAGCAGCAGCTGGGAAGAAGAAGCTGGTGTGGGAGTCTGTGTGTCAGACAGGGTACTACTGTGTGTCAGAGTACCAACCTGATAGGTTCAGGTGTCTGTTGGTTAGCCAGAACTGATAGGTTCAGGGTCTGTGCTTCAAGTTAAGGGTTCTGTGTGAACCAAACTGTATGCATGTATGAATGAGAATAAGCCACGTTACTTTATCTTATTCACCTGATCATTTTATTTTCCCTGTGTGTTGTATTTAAATAAACCTTATTCTTTTATTTGTTAAAAATCCATCCCTGGTCTGTGTGACTTCTTACAGGGAATGGTTGGTGGCAGCTTAGTTAACGTGTGGCAGATCCCAGTAGGTCTGGGTTTGTCACAATGAGCACTGCCTATAGGTTCCACCTCCAACGAGGTGTGTTCCAATTGGTTTATACAGCATCAGCTGATGTCAGTTCCCTAAGGCTTGTGATTGGAGGAAGCTAAGTCTTCTGACTGTAGGAAACTAAGCCTCCTGACTGAAGGAAGCTTGTTTACAGAGGCAAGATGTGTGCCATTTTGTTCTCTCCTCAGCTTACTTCCATGTAAAGGACACCCCTCAATTTTTATTGTAATGATTTTATGAAAATGTAGTGTCTTATACATGGAAAAATATGGTAACTACTCCCTCATGGAGTGACTGGATATGAGAAATATAAACAGAGTAATTTGTTCTCTGCTGCAGATTGATTCTCAGAGACCCTAGACAAAATAACACACACTTCTCTGTAAATTACAATGAAAAATGAAGACATTTTATTTTGTTACCTAAAATGCAACCCAAGAACACAACCAGTACCTTGTTAATTAGTAGCAATTTGTTGCCATGGCTTACACCATTTCACTTACACAAGTGCAATCCACTAATTGGATTTTGGCTGCTGTATGAGAAAAGGCCACTGCAAATATCAGTGTTTTTTGGGGAGATGTCATGGTCATTTTTGACCGTGATCACAGTGAGGAGTAGCAGTAGTGGTAACAAAGGCTCTCTGTTCTGGCCAGTTCCCTCCTCCATGGGGGCAGCAGCAAAGCAGCAAGTGGAAACAGTGGCCACTGCTGCCCATTAGAGGAGGAGGTGGTGGCAGCAGCTGGGCAAAGTCTCACAACAAGTGACCAGGAAGAACTTTGTTGTGGCTTGTTGTGTGAGACTGAGCTCCACCCAGCTGCCCATGAGTGGAGAAGCTTCCTGGTGGTCTCTTTTTTATGCAGATTTGGCAGAGGGGTGGCAGATTATTTGGCTATTATGAAAGGGGTTGCGGCTGAGAAAAGGCTGGGAAACACTGATCTAGGATTCTATTCCTGTTTCCTTCATAAAGATTCTCTTTATTTACAGGCTGATACACACATAGGATCCCTTCAGAAGCTAGAATAATACATAGCTAAGGGTCTACGCTGGCTTGGGCATGTCATGAGAATGGCTGTGGGCCGGATTCCAAAAGATCTCCTGCATGGAGAATTTGTGCAGGGAAATAGCCCCAGAGGGAGACCACAGCTACGATACAAGGATATCTGCAAGCAGGATCTGAAGGCCTTAGGAATGGATCTCAACAGATGAGAAACCTTGACATCTGAGCGTTCAGCCTGGAGGCAGGCGGTGCATCATGCCCTCTCGCATTTTGAAGAGACACTTGTCCAGCAGGTCAAGGCAAAGAATCAGTCTTGAAACCAGCAAAAGCAGGGAGCCTGACAGGGGACAGACTGTATTTGTCTTCAATGTGGAAGGAATTGTCACTCTCGAATTGGCCTTCTCAGCCACACTAGACACTGTTCCAAGTACTCTGTTCTGAGCATGTTACCATAGTTTCTCAAGACTGAAGGATGCCTAATATAAAAAGGGGAAGGGTAAAGCTGTCAGGTACGGCCCATCTCTTCTGCAGTGCCCAAGGTCGGGGCAAGAGTGAAACACCCCTTTGCTCCAAACACAGATTGCCTACACTGATAAATGATTACAGTGGACTTATGAACATCCTGACATATGACCATTTTGAGTTATGACCAGCTCCAGCAGCAAAATTTTGCTTTAAAAATTTGCTCCGGCTTGTGGCTGGAGCTTCCAGTTAAGAACAGAAAAAGGCAGGGAAAAAGATGGGGAATTCAAATTGCTAACCGTTGGTAGGTGAAGAGCTGCTTCTTTGTAGCTCTTTTGCCCCAGCAGTTAGAGTGAGTGTGATTGGAGGAGGCTTTGGACTGCCTGGTAATGTGCTGCTTTCTGCTTTTTAAAAACTGTTCTGGGTGGGTTTTGCAGCGTGGTTTTGGGCTGGGTGGTGGGATTATGTTTCTGTGCTGTCATGGGTCTTGCAGGGTTTGTTTGTTTTTTGGTGTTTTTTTGTCCCTCCATTTCCAATGGGTCTTGCGGGGTTTGTTTGTTTTTTGTTTTTTTATCCCCCATTTCTGATGGGTCTTGTGGGGTTTTACTTTTGGATTTTTTCCCCATTTCCAATGGGTCTTGCAGGGTTTGTTTGCTTTTTTTTGCATTTCCTATGTGTCTTGCACTGTTTTTTTGCTTTCTTCTTTGCTTTTTTT